AGAGATGCCCATCAATACCAACCACCTCCCCAGACCTGTTGTGCAGCACCTATTTTGCGCTAGTGTGGGTGGATTCTTGTCACTCCACTGTAACTGGCTGCTCTTGATGAAACACAGAGGCACCATTGGTGACTTGTGTGGGCAATGACTGCACAGATCACCAGAGGAGAAAATTTTGCTGAAATGGACTAAACTGACCATGCTTCTCTGACTGCAGCAGCAGCCTGCCCCTGCTTCTCTGGGATGACTGTGGTACTGCTTTTCTCATGAGTCGAGAGAGGACATGAACATTCCTCAGATTTTTACAGCAGAAGACCAAAACTCACAGCCCTCAGAGCAGACAGATAAGGCGACTGTGTGGAGCACACTGTGTGTGTTTGACATGGATCGGTAGAGTGGTCGTCCCTCTTGAGGGGTGAGCGAACCCTCAGCATCAGCCTTTTGCTGCATGTGGGTCAGTGCTACCATATTTTCTGATTTTTTGTGAAATTTCAGCTTATCTGTGAAACTCCCCAGGTTTGAAGATTAACTGATTTCATAAGTGAATTTTAATAAAAATCCATGTGGCTCAAATATAGCATACTGGATTGTGGTTGCCAGGATGCACTGGAAGTATTGACATGATTTTCTTTTTTCAACCAAGAAAACTGTTCTGTGAAAGAAATAGGAGCCTTAAGGCCCACCAGATATCGAAACTAGCATTACCTTCCTTTTCCTTTTTAACTGTGTCCCCAGGTGAAAGAGACATAGAGATTGATGATATGCAGAAATTAAAAGTGGTGGAAAACTTCATCTATGAGAGCATGCGATACCAGCCTGTGGTGGCCTTGGTCATGCGCAAGGCCTTAGAAGATGATGTCATTGACGGCTACCCAGTGAAGAAAGGAACCAACATTATCCTGAATATTGGAAGAATGCATAGACTGGAGTTTTTCTCCAAGCCCAATGAATTTAGTCTTGAAAACTTTGAGAAGAATGTAAGAGTCCTTCCTTAAGATCCATTGTACTACTCCTGACAATGTCTGGTGTTAAATCCTTTCTCGTTCGGTGTGTTTGTACCTTGCACACTTTAAGCCTTTTACTGTTTCCCTTCTGCTGACTCCTGCTCCTTTCCCTAATTTGGAACATGGCACCATATTTGGCCTTGCAGACAGGATGATGGGTCTCCAGCTCTTGGAAATATCTAAATGGTGGCAATTGACTGGGTAAAAAGTGAAAAATCCAGGCCCTTTTTGGCCATGAGGTGTTTCATTGAACCTAGGTAATTTGCTTTTCCTTTAAGAAATCTCTTTGTCATCCTCATATGTAGCTGGAAGACCATCTCAGTAGAGGAAATCCTCTAGGCTGTAAGTGGGAATCAAGTGAGACCAAAAGATTGACTTTGTACACTCTGCCTTTGGTTCATGAAATGTCTCCATGTACAGTATGTCTCTTTCTAAATCGGACTAATAATTACAAGACATTCAGCTTTTTCTTTGTTTTTTTTATACTTTGAATTTTTATCTTTTCATTTTTATCTTTATTAGTTCATGCTTGTAGTACATAATAATCACATTCCTTGTAGCATGTTGGTACATGTTCATAACACTTATTAATTGTATTTACCTCCTCTTCTTCTCTCCTCCCTCCCCGCTTCATCTCACTTGCAAGCATTCTATCTCCCTGTTTGCTATTATCTTTTATTTTGTTCTTTATCTGTTGATTTCTCATGTAAGAAATCATGTGATTTTTATGCTTGTATCACTGAATTCACTTAAAATTATAGTTCCAGGTGCATCTATTTTCCTACAAATAACTCAAATGTATCTTTTTTTATAATAGAGTAGTACTCCATTGTGTATAAGGACCACATTTTCTTTATCCATTCCTCTGTAGATGGGTGGCTTCCAAGATTTAGCTATTATGATTTGCGCTGCTATAAACATGGATGCATGTATCACTGCAATATGATGTTTTTAACTCTTTCAGGAAGATACCTGGAAATAGTTCAGCTGAACAGAATTTGTATTTTTATTTCTTAGAGGAATTTTCATACTGATTTCTGTAGTGGTTGTAGTAGTTTGCGTTCCCTCCAACAATGTATAGTATTTCCTCGAAAATAAGACTTATTATAGTTTTTTGCTCCTAAAGATACAATTAGGGTTATTTTCAGGGGATTTTGTATTTGCTCATTTTCAACAATCTACATTTATTCATGTACAAAATTCTATGTTTGTTCATATACCAAAATCTACATTTATTCAAAAAGAGTCATGCCATCTTCCAGAACATGGTCATAACTCTCCAATTCCTGAATTCCAGCCTGAATTTCTTGTGACTCCATTTTGTATAGAACACTGGTCCCAATCTCTTATGTCTGACAATGCAGCTCTCCTTAAACAAACACTTTTTGTCCATGTAGCCTGCTTGTAGCACACTGGCAACACAGCTGTAAGTGATTTTATCCCAGGAATTCTGCACCCAAGTTATGACCTCTTGCAGGCTGAGCTTCACAGTTTCCATTAAATCCAGTGTTAATTGAAGACTTTAAGATTTACAGGAAAAATGATGACAGTTCAGAATGATGCTCCACACAAAAGCACACAAACAAAAATTGCAGGCATCAAAATTCAGAAAACTTTTCTTTTCTTTTTTTGTATATCCTTTTATTGGTACATTTTAGGTGTACAATATAATGAGATTCATCGTTGGAGATATGCACCTTTACATACTCTCTTGGTTTTTGTTTTTCCCCCTTCCTCTGCCCTCCCTTCAACCCCTCCATGCCTCCCTATTAACAAAGTCTTTGTTTCCTTTTTCAGAAAATTTTTCTTTATGTCATACAAGGGCATGAAGTACACCATTACAACACATAGTGTATTAAATTATGAATATTCATATTAATCACAACCACATCCATTCATTATCAAGTTTGCACATGTTATTTGTTGATTGTGTCTGTACCCCAGTTGATCATTCAGCAGTAAGTCTTGAGTTCACCTGTTTACATAGGGGTTTACCTCTTGTCCAAAGGTGTCTGCTTGGATGCTCACAAATATTTAAT